ATTCATTAGTTAATTAATTTTGAAATAGGGCCTCACTAAGTCACTCAGTTGTCCAGCTTGGGCTCAAACTTCCATTCCTTCTGCCTTAGCCTCAGACTAGCAGAGCACTGAGCTAGAATTACAGGTGCACGCCACCAGCTTTGTCTACAAAATATCTTAAATATCTACTGGTTGGCTTTTTGGAAAGAATTTGCTGATCTCTAATGTAGACTTAGGTAAAATATTTGGATTTTATTCTAAATCCACAAAGTCTAGCAGAAAAACTAGCTTAGCTGGCAAATCAAGTTCAGCATTTACTGAGCACTTGGATTTATCAGGAACTAAATTGCTTTACACATGTAAACTTTAATCTTCTGGGCAACTCTGCTTAGTAAATACTGTTAGTCCCACTTTATATAAGGGGAATCTGTCTTTGAAAGAGTCAATAAATTGACTGAAGTCATAATTAACAAGTGTTGGACCTGATGCTTCACCATTCCAGCCTAATTCCAGAGCCTGGACAGTAGTTTTCAAAAAAAATTTTTTTTTAAATTGGTACTGGGGATTGAACTCCGGACCTTGGGTTTGCAAGGCAGGCAGTGGAACCACTGGGCTAAATCCCCAGGTAAAATGTTTTCAAAGAAATGTTCATGAAAATATTGCAGAAGTCTGAAGTACCTGGGAGATGCTTGGGTTTTCAGAACACAGAGGAGACACCATGACTTTTCCTCTAATCCTCTTGTGTACAGGGAAAGACATGAAGGACAGTCACCCATCCCCACAAAGTTCTACAAGCTGGGACTTGACAGCAGCCTTTGCTGTGGAGGTGCATTCCATCTGAAAGCAACTCTAGAATGATGTTGTTTTCAGTATGCCCCATTTGATCACTTAAATAACGAACCTACCTCTGTGAAAGCCCAGGTTCACAAGGATGATTTCTAGGCAGAAGACTCAAGAGCAAATGCTTAGTGGTCCCTCCCATTTTCCAGGCAGACCCAATCTTACCATGGTTCCTGAGGTGCATCCCGAGCCACCTAGGTCTGTGGGTTTAAGTAGGTTCTTTTATGTAACACACTGCAAGTGCTTTAGGTACTGGTTTCTATTCAAACCTCCCAGTCATCTTAGCATTTAACTATTGCCCCATTTTACAGCTGAGGAAATGGATTAGTAGAAGAGGCAAGGGATGTGCTAAGGTTACATGGGGGCCAGTGACAAAGCCCAGGTGACAAGCCAGGCCCTGTGTGCCTCCCACACCCATGCTCATCCCACCAAGCTTTGTGGCTCCTAGGAAACTTTTTTCTGAATCAATAACTAATTTCAAAGGTTGCTGGTCTGGCTTAGAAACTCCATGGTATATTTTACATCAGTGCTCAAAGAATTGTGCCCCTGGTGTGAATTAGCAGCAGCATCTGCCCGGAAATGAGGTGAGTCCACCTCTTCCCCTGGCCTTGGGAAAGGCCATGATTCCCCACAAGAGTTGTGAAAGGTCAAGAAGAAAGTTTCGGGCTGTCTTGTAATTGTAATAAAAACCCCACTGGAGTCTACACATGGGAAACCCCCTGTTTGTTTTGACCCCTACAGTAGTCTACTGTTGACCGAGTTAATGTCTCCTTTTTCAATCCCCCCGCACACACAACCCAGATGATAATGGGAAAAAGAGATGTTTATATTTCTAAAATCTGTCTGAATTAGTAATGAAACAGAATATAAGGATCTCCTGAAATAGGAATCAAAATGGCAAATTGGCAGTCATTTGAAGGGCAGCAGAAAGTGCCACCCCCAAATATTCTGCTTTGGCATAAGAATCATTTTGAACTGAAGCCAGTTGGGAAAAGGAAGGTATAAGAAGAGCTCTCTGATTTCCCCTTATTTGCCTAAAAGCAGAACCTACATTTACTCAGATGTCCTTCTCCCCTCTCTACCAAGGACAAAGGTTGATTATTGGAGAAAACTTTAAGATCCTTATCAGTCTGGAGAGGGCACCAGAGGGTTCTACATAACAAACTTCAGTTTCTCACAAATGTGCCATTCCTAAAGACTTGAGATACTTTTCCTCTGGTTACTACTTCTCTAAAACGCCATTGTTCTTTGTTTAAAATATCACGTAGGGCAGAATTCTAAACCACATCTTTGAGAACTATTCATTCTCAATATATGTTCCATGCATATATGAAATATACATGAAATTGCTTCATTTTCTCCTTAATTTTTTCATTTACTGGGGTCCCAACTAAGAACTCAGAAAGGTAGGAGGAAAACTAGTTTTTCTTCTCCTACTCAGTAGTGAGACCACCTCCTTACAAAGCGGTCAGGAGACACATTTCCATTAGAAAATAAGCAGGTCACTCCGTGACCACTACACTCCAACCTCATCTTTTCTCTCCATTTTCCCCGAGCAGCCACAATCAGCCACCCTCCCTTTGTACACACTGTGGGCTGTAGGCTGAGCATGTGTTGGTGAAAGAGTAGGAAGGACTGTGCAAACCACAAGGCACGTCACCGACCAGCCTGCCTTGCAGTGTTTCCCCACGGGCAGTTTCCTATCTCTGAGTCTAGGGGGCTATGCAACTTTGGACAAGGTTTTCAGCCAATTGAACAGCAAGCATACTGTAGGTGGATAAGGTACATTCACTATGGCCCAAAGCACAATTCAAAGTAATATCTTCTTTACTCCATTAGAAAAATGATGCCAACCACCCTTTCAGGCTTCAGAACAAAAGAGTATGTTTACATCTTCATATGGTCAGTTGATTAATGCTTTTGTTCACTCACTACTTGACAACCCATTTCAAATGAAAGTCTGTCATTTTGCCTGCTTAATATGAATTAAATTAATCAAACTTGTTTATTTGCACATTATCTCCCCCAGCCGATAATCTTTGTAAAACAAGGAAATTATAAAAAAATGGGCAAATGAACTGAATAGAAACTTCTCAAGAGAAGTATGAAAGGCCAATAAGTACCTAAAAATGTTTAATGTCTTTATCCATCAATGCTATGTCGAGATTCCACCCTTTTGTAATTCTATCTCACCCTAGTCAATATAACTATCATCAAGAACACAAAAGACAAATAAATGGCAGTGAGGATGAGGGAAAAAGGAACACATTGATGCTGCTGGTGGGTTATGTAAATCAGTAGAGCCATTGTGGAAATCAGAATGGAGGTGTTCAAAAAACGAAAAATAGAATGACCCCATGATCCACCTACGCCACTCCGTAGTATACATCCAAAGGGCTTAAAGTCAGTACAATGTAGAGATAGTGTACGTGTACACTCACATCTCCTGAAATACAGTTCACAGTAGCCAAGACATGCAAACAGCCTAGGTGCCCATAGACAGATAAATGGATAAAGAAAATGTGATATAGATACCCAATGAGTATTATTCAGCCATTAAGAATAATGTGATCATGCCATTTGCAGGAATACACATGGAACTGGAGACTATCATGCTGAACAAAATAAGGAAGACTCAGAAAGACAATATTGCATGTTTTCTCTAATATGTGGAATACAAAAGAAATTTTAAAAGTGATGACATGAAAGTACAAGATAAGAGGAAGTGCCAGGCATGGTGGTGCATGCCTATAATCCTAACACTACGGAAAACTGAAGCAGGAGAATGTTCAAACCCTCTTGCAGAGGAGTGCAAGAGATTAGCTGCACACTAGAGACCCAGAGAATCCAGCCAAGGACCTGGATCCCACAGCAATGTCCCACACAAGTCCTGCTGAAGGCCTAGAGTCCAAGGCAATGTCCTCCACGAGTCTAGCCAGTGGCCTAGAGCCCAGGGAAATGTCTTACGCTGGTCCATAACAAGGATATGCACTGGGAATACACAAAGGTCAGTAGTGGAAGCCAGAAAGCCCACATCAGTAGGGTGAAGAATCTGTGCCATCAGGCTGAGGGATCTACATTGGAGCCAGGAAGTGATGCTCATGATGAGGATCAGAGCTCCCCTGACCAGAACAGCAGCCATTCCCAGTGACAGTGAGGCCCCAAGCTCCTCCTCCTGCAACAAGAACAGCCAAGTTCAGGAAAACCAACCACAGCAAGCTTCTACTAGAAAATCAACAGCCCACGATCTTCCCCTTCATTTCTCTTTTTATGTTATTGGTAACAATCCTCAGGTGGGTCTTCCACACCCAATCCGTGCTGATTCAATTCATCTGGGCATTCCAAGTTGATCACTGGTCAATCACCACAGCAACTTAGCAACTGAGCAAGACCCTGTCTCAAGAGAAATAGAAAGGAATGAAGGGAGGGAGGAAGGGAGGAAGAGGGGGGAAAGGCAGGGAGAAAGAAAAAGAGAGGGAAGGAAGGAAAGAAGGAAGGAGGGAAGGAAGGAAGGAAAGAAGGGAAGCGAAGAGATGGAAGAGAAGGAGGAAAGGAGGGAAGGAAGGAAGGAAGGTAGCTCAGTGTGAAGCACCCAAGGTCAATCTTCAATACAGCAAGAAAAAAACAGGAGAGGAACAAGGGGAAGGTAAAAAAGGGATATCAGAGAGTATGATGGGGGCATGGATATGATCAAATATGTCATATACATGTATGAAAATGCCTCAGTGAAACCCAAAATTTTGTAAAACTAATATACACAAAAATATATATTGAAAAACAAAAATGTTGGCATCTTAAAAAAAACTGATTTATGTTTCACATTTAATCACGTCTTAGAGAGGTGAATGCTAGATGGAAAAATAAGTGAAGAGATGGATGGATGGACAGGTGGATGGACAGACAGATGAATGTGCAGATTTCAAATGTAAGTAAATATATGAAGGAATAAGTTTGGCCCCTGATAACCATCAAAAGTCATTACCACAGTTAAGAATATAAAATATTCACAGAGGTTGCATAAAATTTACCTAATTATAATTATTTAATAAAGTAGAAAAGTAAAAATAGGAGCGCCATCACTACACAGAAACCTCTTAGCGTTTTTCCCACCCTTTCTCCCCACACAAGACTCGCACTTAGTTGACTTAGTAGTACCTCCCACGTGCAGTCACTAACATCACTCACGCTTCTCCGCAATCGAGTTGACACTGTGGTCCCCAAAATGTTCCACCAGGAGATATTTTGGGGGCAGCAAAGTCAGAGGGACCTCCCAGAGCAGATGGAGGAGTTGACACACGTGAGTAGAAGTCACAGAGCCCCTTCCTCGGCCCTCTTCAAAAGAAACGACTCTCCCGCATTTATTTCAGAGTCTAGAGGAAGTTGACAGGGTCACGGTGGCACAGCACAACATGTGGTGGGGAGTTCTCAGCCTGCTGTCTTGGCTCCCTTTACAAGGTAAGAGCTTAGACTGAAAGTCTTTATCACTCAGCTGACTTCGTATTTTGTCAAATGTACTCATCACTTGGTCAACTGCACTCATGTTGGACCGACTACGGAAGCAAGTCAGGCAACCGCTAATTCTTTTCAACAATCAGAGAGGCTACTATATTTATTTAATCTCTTATTCAGTTACCAAAGGGTATATAGTAAGGGACACTGTGCATGTCTGTGGTTTCTACATTACAGAAAAATGTGGCAAGCTTCCAATGTTCTGTCTTTTAATACATTACCAGGTGAAAGAGTATCAGTTTTGGATTTTAAACTCCTTGCTGTATAAGATTTCACCAAATAAGTTACTTTCTCTGAGACTCAGTTTCTGCATCTTGAAATGAAGATGATAATAATGTTTGATCTGCCTGGATTATTATAAGGATCTAATTTAAAATGTTAACACTTTGGAAATGGTAAAGTGCTGTATCACCCATATTTAGTTCACAGATAATGAACCCAGTGAAAACCATGCTTATTTTACAAAAGTCAGTTATATTTTACGTTTTCCTTTAATTTGGTTTCTTTTATTTTTTTGGTTACCGGGGATCAAACTCAGGACCTTGTGCTTGCTAGGCAGCTGGCAGAACCACTGAGCTAAATCCCCAGCCCTCTAACTTGGTTTCTTGAAGTTAATTGTAATCTACTATTATGAAAATGAAAGAAGACACATTTACCTTTAAACTCAGATCAAATTATTCCTACCCAAAAGTGGAGGTAAGGGTAACAAGAGACAGCCTCCAGCGTCCCCAGGGCTCTGATGGTTCCTTATTTCAGATGTGCACAAAAGAAGCCACTTATATCCATGTGTGGTAAATGTATGCTTGCTTGTTTCCAAATTCTGAATCTGTAGTTCTGTTTCATGAAACAACCTCTTCGAAATGTCCAGTGATTATAGTGGTAATTGAAAGATGGTGTTTTAAAAAATGAGATTTCCTATTTTACATAGTATTTTAATTCCTTATTTTATACACTTCAATTAGTGCTCTCCTCTTTGGCCCCTATGCCCAAGGCACATAACAAGCATTCAATTTTGGTAATGAATAATACTAGTTTCTTCAATGAGTGGCTTAAAGAAGAGCCATTCAGAAAGAGTACTATTTAGGTAGCTCAAATGAGAATGATTTCAATTATTCCAAAGTTTAAAGCCTTTAACTGACCTTAACTTTTTCAGGCTTTGAATTTTTGCCTCACAAAACATTTAGAAGTAAGTTTTTAAATAAACAGGAAAAATTGTATCTTAAGATAAACCTAAAACAAGCTGAGCACAGTGGCTCACAACTATAATTCCAGGACTCCAGAGACTGAAGCAGGAAAATTCTCATTTTCTAATGATCTGAATTGCAGCACACTTTTGCTCAATACTTCATAACAGTCATGTAAATAGGACTCTGGTTTAAGAATTTACTTATTGTGTGTTTTTGTTTTTAATTTAGTTCTAGCCACTATTTTTGATATAATAATTATAGAGCAAAATTAACATCATATTAAAATATTTCTCTGAAGTTATATATCTTTATTCATTTTACTCATTATTTCAACAAATATCAAATATTATTCTGCACTAGCCACTGACTGGGAAGATAAAATAAATGAATGACAAACAATTTTTTCCATGAAAGGTTTGTATTTTATCCACAGAAATTTACCTGTAAAAGTAATGTGCTGAGTGATGCAGCAGAATTATATTCTCTAGAGGAGAGAGTAAGTCGTGGTGGAAAGTTGGGGTAGGATAAAGGGCCAGTTGGGGAGTTTTGAGAGAAAGGATATAATGTAAGCTGAGTCTTCAAGCTGAGTCTTGGAAGAGACACGAAAGGTGTTCTAGGCCAAGAGTACAGCATAGCAAAGGCAAAATGTCTTTATGGGATTTTTTTTTTCTGGTACCGGGGATCAAACTTAGGACCTTGCACTTGCCAGGCAGGTGCGGTGCCACTGGGCTAAATCCCCAGCCCTGGCAAAGTATCTATAAGGTCTGGAACTTTCAGGACACAGCAACTGACTGTTTGCATGGAGTTTCTGGAAAGGAGTATATCTAGATGATACTGGGGAGAACATGGAAGAAAACTCATTGGGAATTTTGGTCTGATTCCTATAGGAAATGGGAGCCATAGCAAATATTTTAATGAAGGGAGAGACACAATCAAATGTATACTTTTAAACTATAGTTCGAGAAGCAGATAAAGATGATGAATTAGAGGAAGGAGAGCATAGAAGATAGTTATTGCAATGGTCCAAGAAAGAAATGATGGAGGCCTCAACTTAGGCAGCAATAGTAAGAAATAAATAAGGAGGGAATAGGAAGAAAAAAAAAGACAGAACAAGTTCATTAAAGAAATGTTTGGGAGAGAGAAGGGGCTGGGATGGCTGTCAAGTATCTGGTATTTAGTGGCTGGTGATGACATTAATTTATATAAAGAAACGCTGGAATGGAGTAGGTACAATATCTATATTGAGTCTGGGAGGGGAATAGGGGTCAGGAGAAAGAATGAGTTTCAGTTAGACACGTTGAGTTTGAGGTCCCTGCAGTACAGACTTGTTCTGCCTTAGTTTTAATTTTATTATATACATGGATTGGGATATTGAGACAGTAAAAAGAAAGAATACTTTATTCTTCTTTTTTCAGTCTACCATGATGATCTCTTATAGAGGTAAAGATCACACGCAACTCCCAAAATCTTGGGAAAGACCAAGGAATCTTTTTTGTTGTCAGTTTTTTGAGACAGGGTCTTGTTAGGTAGCTTAGGTTGGCCTTGAACTCACTATGAAGCCCAGGCTTGCCTTGAATTCACAGTAATCCTCCTGCCTCAGCCTCTCAGATTCTGAGATTAAAGGCATATGCCACCATGCCCAGCATCAAAAGACCAAGGATTCTTCAAAGTGTACTAGTCTTATCTGTGTGCACTTCAGCAAATGCCTGTGGATGCTCCTTATCTTTCATTTGACATTTGGACACTTGTGCTTTGGCATGAAACCATCTACTGACAAAAGAATTGATTCATGGATTCAGGCAAGGAGATGATGGTAAAGGTCACACATTCTGTATCCATATGCAGTCTTTGTGACATAATGATGTTCTAATCTAGGGAACACCACATATACAATGATGATCCCTTATGATCATAATATAGCCTAGGTTTGTAGTAAACTACACCACCTGGAGTAGTGTAGATATACTCTGTGATGTTTGCACAACAATGAGATCTCCTATAGGCATTTCTCAGCATGTGTCTCTGTGTTAAGCAATGCACGACGGTGTTAACCAGTCACAATCTATAACCCCAAGCTCAAATATAGGTTTTGTAAAATATGGCCATGCAGGGCTGGGCACCTTCAGTCACAGAGTTAAAAACTAAGCTCAGAAGCTGATAATCCACTTAATCAACCTGATCTATCCACAGGTGACCTCCTAAGAGGGACTCCATTATTGAGTTTGGTATGCAGCTGTGAAGGGCTAAGGTAAGACCACTGAAGGTAGGATAGGAAGAACTAGGAAGGAGGCCCATGGCACTCAGGGGCTACCTAAGAAAGGCTGGGGTGAAGATACACGGCTTTAGAGTTTACAGGGGAGGAAGTGGTGAGCAAAAAATACCTCACACCTCATCCTTCTGGCAACAAAGGTGAAAGTCTGACTCCAGACTTAGGTGAAAGAAAACTGAAAAGGCAAATCCAAATCCCAACCTAGTTTCTTTTTTTTTTTCCACCTTAGTTTCCAATGGCAATGAGAAGATCGTGAGAAACTTTTTCTTTAAAAATGAGTCATAAGATGGGCTCAGCATCCTTGTCTTGCAGTTTTTAACAAGACCTAGGCTCACTACACTGTACAGTATTTTTAAGCTTACAGCTGAAGCAACACTGGGGGAGCCCGTGGCTTCTCACTGGGGCTATTCTTCCTTCCTACAATGGTTTCCTGTTGCTAAATAAAACATAGGGTCTATATGAGAAGACTGTAAGATAAGTCAGCCTACAAAGAAAAAAAAGCAAGCCTTGCAGCCAGGAGCAGAGAAAACAGCTAAAATTCTATGCCTCAAACACATCCACTTCCACATGCAACTCAGGCATCTACAGATGTCACTCTGGACAGCAGCCTGAAATTATAAATTCTCAACGGCAAGAGCATATGCTGATGTTTGGATACATAGTACGTTAGCCTATGCTAGAAACCTGTACCACATTTTATCACAATTTTTAAGATTAATGACACCATTTAACTTGTAAGCATGCATCCTAAAAGAAAGCAAATTATATACACACACTTAAAAAATGGGAGTCATTTATTTCTAAACATGCGTCAGATAATCTCATCACTTCCATGTTTACCAAATGCAGCCTTTCTTTTACACCATCATACCAAAGCTAAGAACGTTGAAAAACTTCTAAGTGGCAACTTCTACCTTCAAAAGATGAAATCAGGGCATGTTTTTATTTTATCATTTGTTCAATGTGTAATTTTCTTTCAGTAACTTCTCCCCCATTTCTCAGGATTCTTATTATAACAAAAGGCCAAAGATATCAGTACCACCAGGAAGCCAGGCATTAAACCATTCCTTGTTAAATCCACACTGTAGAAGTTTCTGTAAGGAATTAATTTTAGAGAAATATAAAACATGCTCATAAAAATACAAGAACTAGAAAGAAAAGCAAGCATCACCACAGTGCAGTGGTAATTAGTTCCAGATCTAAACCTTGGCTTTGAAGCTGTTTAACCTCTGAGCTTGAATTTCCTCATCTGGAAACTGGAACAATGATACCCTCTTTACTAATTTTGGGCATGCGTAATTGGGCTTGCTGTTTGCAATGCTTTGTGCTTGTTATATTTGAAACACCTTTCAACCATCTAAGTGGAGTGGTCAGCTAAGAAAGCTAGAAGCCAGAAGATATGGTTTGTGTGGTGTACATAGACAGAAATGACCCATGGTTGGACCACTGTAGCACAGAGGGCAGATTGATAAGAAGAACCTTGGAATGGAGGATGAGAGGGACAAACAGCCAGTGAGTTTGGAGAACAAAGAGAGACTGAGATCTAAGGAACCAAGTAAGGATACTGTCCTGGGGAGCAGGAAGTGATCAGCTAGAGCAAAAGTACACAATAGGATGAATAAGATGAAGTGAGAATGGAATATTGGTTTTGCCAAGGAGAAAGTCTCTAGCAAACTTTGGAAAGATCAAATTTCAATGGAGAGAAGTGGCTTTTAAAACCAGATCAGGAAAGGAAAAGTGGAACAAGCAGACACGGATAAATCTTTAGAATAATTTTTCAACAAAAGGGGGAAGCACGGCAATAGTTAGAGAGGAATGTGACGTGTAGTTCCATTTTTGCTTCTCAGTATGGGAAAAATAGCATTACGTGTGTATGTGCGTGCTGATGAGAAGGATACCACTAAGGAGGGAAAAATGATAATGTGGAGGAAAAATGGGACAACACAGAAGAAAACTTCTTGGGTAAACCACAAGGGATGGAGTGGCTGCCTAAGTACAGAAATAGGGGAAGAGACCATAATTCCTCCCAAATAAGGCCCAACCAGAAAATAAGTCCTAGCATGATTTTTCAGGATTCTCATAATATGAGCCCTATCCCAAAATAAGCCCCAGTTAAGATCGTCAGCCAGATGGATGAATTATGTTCATTACAACATGTGATAGACATATTGAATGATAATATGACATTATTGATATATAATTAAATATAAGTAATATTATTGTCACTAACACTTAAAAGAAATGATAATATAAAGTATAGTGACATATTTGTAATTATCTAAATGGATGCCTGTGGATGAGAAGTAAATGCCTATATAAACAGATGAATTTGAGGCTTATTGCTGAATGACCAGTCAGAGTACAGACAAAACACATGAATAACATGCACACTTGATAATGAACAAATATGTTCATGTCTAATATGAATCTTCATAACTCATAATGTTATAGCAATGCACTATGAGCAGGCTAAATTAATGCTCATTTAAGGAGAGCTCTATTGTTGGGCAGGAAAGATTGGAGCCAATGGTTTCACAGGAAGTGGAATCCCAAGAAATTCAGTCCAGGATTTGGGGTTTGGAGAGTTAACAACAACATTCTAAAAAAAAGATGACATGACTATATTTTAATAAATGTAGATTTTTGTACATGAATGAATGGATAAATGTGAATTATTACACATGAATACATGTAGATTATTGTACATGAATAAATGTAGATTGTTGTACATGAAAAAAAATAAGACATCCCCTGGAAACAACCCTAGTGTGTGTGTTTTGAAGCAAAAATTAATATAAGCCTAGGTCTTATTTTCAGGGAATATGGTAAATCTACAGGGATATAATACAGGTGGATTCTGTAGAGTCTAAAAGCAAGTAGATTTGATTTGGTGGGAGAGCAGGGAGAAGTTCCTTTTCTGATTGGCACACTTTTTACAGAAACATTGCTACACACATATTCAAGTAAAAGTTAATATCTCAGTAACCAACAATATACATGATGAAGAAGGGAGAGAAGGGAAAGAGGATTTCATAATTTTATTATTTCAGGGCTCTAATCTCTCTTTCTGTCTCTGCGCGCGCGCTCTCTCTCTCTCTCTCTCTCTCCCTCTCTCTCTCCCTCTCTCTGTCTTTTCTCTCTGTCTTTCTGTTTGTGTCTCTGTTTCTCCATCTCTCACTGTTTGTCTCTCTGTCTCCCTACATGACTGATAAATTTGCAAGGTTGAAGACAACTGTTTTCCCTACCCACCTAATGTGGATGTCACACAGACTCAAGAACGAGAACTAAATGGCCTCCCAAATTTTTATTACCAAGAAAAACCCCTTAGAAGAAATTCCATTGTCATTTTAAAACATCTCTATTAAAATTATTCTTATTACTCATTTCGGGTTAATTTTGTAGATGAGACTATTTCCAAATGGCCAAACCAAAGAAGAATTCTGGCCTTAGGCCTCAATTTTTTTTTAAATGCAGATCTCTTTCTCTTTATTTACTCATGTACTTCGGAGCTCAGAATAAAACCCAGGGCCTCTGGCATACTGTATACATGCTCTACCATGAGCTCTATCTCCAGCCCCACACATCTCTTAAACTTTTATTGATTCACTGTTCATTACAGTATTGGCTGATGACATTGGCTTTTTCTATTGGAACTCAAGCAAACTGTTTTCCAATGAAAGTCAACATGAATACAGTACAATAATTCTGGCTTATTACTGCTGGAGGCTAGATGGAAATTAATGGCCTAGGAATGAAATACACCAGTTAATTCCCAGAGCCCTCCAAAGCACACTTCTAATACTTAAATTTATGAGTAAATTTACTTCTTTCTTTTCCTGTCTTTCTTTCTTGTTTCCTTTCTCTTTCTTTCTTTTTCTTCCTTCCTTTCATTTTTGGGGGGGTAGTAAAGATAATTCAGTAAAACATATTACATTTGCTACTTATAATTTATAACCTATAGCATTCTGTTTATGGAAATGTTTTGCTCCTTCATTTATAAGAACTACCTTGTCATCAGGGGAAAAATTGTTTTTAATTTAAAATTTGAAGAAATAACGAAAGTATAAATATGCCAAATCAGCAGTAAAGCCAGTTTATTTTCCCCTCAATAAATTTGCAGCTGAACCAATTGATTGTCATTCACTGGGAGCTGTGACTCAGTGAAATCAGAGTGTCCATCTGCCTGGAAGAAGTGCTGCTGTGGACTATTGAGCTAGAGACCTTGGAACATCCTCTCTCAGGTGTAAAAGCTATCTGACAGGTGGAGTTTAACTGCTCTGGGTGAACAGCAGCTGCATACTTCAGGGCAGTGCTGCAGACTATAACTTTGTTTTGTTTTTTGATTTTGGTTTTTGTTTTCTTGAGGTACTGGGAGGGATCCTGGAGCCTCTGTCAGGCCAGGCGCTACCACTGAGCCACACTTCCAGCCCAAGAGTTTTTCACAGACTCCTAGACATTATACTTGAAGGGACAAGTTACCCATTTTTAATAACCTGAAGTCACAAATGTCAAGTTTTCTGGGGTCTCATCGCTTACATAAGCTGATGCTGAAGTTACAGAAACAAGGATTTTGAAGTCCTGGATACAGATTCCTGCTCCATGACCTTGGTGACCTTGAGCCTCTATTCTCTCATCTGTAAAGTGAACAAAACAACTCTTCCTGCAGGATTAGTTTTTTGTGTGCGTGTGTATGGTACCAGGGATCAAACTCGGGTCCTTGTGCTTGTGAAGTAGGCAGTGGAACCGCTGAGCTAAATCCCCAGCCCCTGCAGGATTAGTTTGAATATTAAATTTAGGCACAATGGGCCAACCCAGTTCCTGCCATGTGACCAGGCAAATGGCTCAATAACAGACGTTCTATTTTTCCTTTCTTCCTAGTAAGATCCATTTCCTTTATCCAGTCTTAGCTAGAATGTGTGCTCCTTCATGAGAGGACTTTATTATTCCTGCATGCAGTGCTCCCTCTCCTCACATTTTTTTGTATTTGTTTATATTTTGGTTTCTATAAGAAATATGCAGTGGGTGATTGAATGATTGAATAAGGCCATACTAATAATCCCTACCTTGGAGGAGTGCAGTGTAGCCCCAGCCAGCCTGACCTGTCTTTTATCTTCCTCCACAGACACCTTTCTGATTAACCACACTGAAACCATCACAGTGGAGGAAGGCCAGATGCTCATTCTCAAGTGTGTCACTTCTCTGGAGAAGAACGTCTCCCTTCAGTGGCTGGCACCCTCGGGCTTCACCATTTTTTTAAATAAGAATCCTGGTAAGTGAATGAAAGAAAAAAAAAAATCACCACCAGTCCTCAAGCTAAGGGATTTTTCCAACTAGGTCAGAAAGTCTGCATGAATCACCATGGGGTGAGCTCAGCCCACCTACTCTCCACACAAATCACACCTCTGCATGCTGTTATTTAATACATGGTTGCTTTTCTGGGGACAGGAAATCTGAAATGGAAACCTGACCAGAATGGTTGTTAAAGGGGGCTTAAATTACAAAGCACATTTCCATGTCCCAACCCAACCCTCCCAGTCACTTTTTGACTCTCAGTGACCATGAAACACCCACAGCAGAATGACAAGCCATGAACTGATGTGGGGGCCCTGTCCTCTCGTGGAGCCAACATCATCGCTCCACGTCTGGAGCCAGCTGCTTTGTTTTCCATCTGATCCATCCAAATTCTCATTCCAAAGCTCTTTCCAGATGTCTCTCCTTTCCCCTGTTGGTTTTTACACAAAATCAAGATTTCGAAGCACTAGAAATGGATATGGTGTACGACCTTGGAAAAGACAGAAATCATTCCTGTCTTCACAAACATACAGTAAATAAGTACTAGATACCTCAGATAGAGACTCATTTAACCCCTGAACATTGGACAAGATTTTACTCAACCCTCCCCTTCATAATTAGACCTTTTTTTTTTTTTTTTTTTTTTTTTTCATGCTTGAGAAGCAGGTACCAGAACCACTGAACTAAATCCCGACCTATAATTAGACCATTTTTTATTTCCACTTAATACTCCTATCTGCCAAATACTTGAAAAAAATCTCTCAAACAAGACATTCCATTCTTGTTTACATCAGAGATTATTAAATAATTCTATATCCTTTGAAAACATTATTAAATATCAGTGTAAGTATAAAAACCCAATACAACCTTTCAAGCAAAATTAACTATCTTTTAATTAATTTTATGGGTACGTTTAAGGTATACAATATAATGACATTCATCTTTGGAAATTTGCACCTTTCCATAATCCATCTTGGTTCTAATTTTCCCCCCTTCCCCTGCAAAATCAACTATTAAAACTAGATTCCAATAGAATATGTAGACACTAACTGTTAAAAGTTTTAGAGAAATAAACTTTGAGTAGAGCTCATTCTGTTAAATAATGCTTTTTACTGTTTTGTTTTGATTTTCTTTGGGGGGGAATCTGGGAGAAGATAGAGATTCTGGGATTTCTGTACTCGAAGGGCTTGATCCATTTCAGTGATTCTCCACCTGGAATGATCCTCCCCTCTAGCATAACATACATTTGGCAATGTCTGGATAGTTTGGGTTGTTATAAATAAGGAAAGAGGGGAAAGAGAGAGGTGTTTCTGGCATCTAATAAGTAAAGGACAGGGATGCTGCAAAACATTCAACAATGCACCAGACAAGGAGTTACGGATTCAAATATCAACAGAGCAGAGATGAGAATTCCAGAAGTCTAGTTCACTGTCAGTGTTCTGGCACAAACTCTCACTGCTCCAGATGAGGGACAACTTTGGTGGCCAGCTATTCAAGGTTTAATGTGTGGATATTATAAATCTTAATGTTTAAAAAAAGCCAAATAGAAGCACTCATTTCGAGGGCCTCTGATATGCTAAGGGATCTTTGATTTCACAAAACCAAGAGAACCTTTGCTATTGGTTAGAACCTTTCAGAGTTTGTTTCTTTTTTTCTTTTTTCCTCTTTTCTTTTCCCACTGGTTGCATACCTGGAAGGAGCAAGTCATAATCTTTGAGAATCTTCAAATAATAATGAGCATTTTAAAACTGAAAATAAAAAGCATTTAGCTAATACATTTATCAATGAGTGCATTTATCTTACATTCTTGACACTCACTGTGACAAGATGACCTTCAATGAATCAAATTTCAAAGAGATAAATCATAGTGGGGCATTTTTCATTACAAAAATCATCTAAAATTTTCTTGTAATTTGAATCTTTCTTCAGTACAACATTCTTACTTTCCTACAAGCACAAAGTAATTTGTTTATTTCATAGACCCCATTATAAAAATATTTCATTTCCTAAACTACTTAGAGAGGCATTCAACTGGTAACACAAGAATTTGAAAGGCAGCTCAATCAAAGACAGGGCTTTTGTTCCTTTAAAGTGTGAGCATCGAAAATGCTACCTATGAGTGATCAGTCTGTATTCATCTGATATGTTTCCACATAACAGCTCTATTTCTTCTTTGTACAGCTTTAAAAAACTCCAGATACCGGCTTCTTCATCATTCAGCCACTCAGCTGTCCATCAGTGTGCCCAGCGTCTCCCTACAAGATGAGGGAGTGTATAAATGTTTACATTACAGTGACTCAGTGAGCACAAAGGAAGTGAAAGTGATCGTGCTAGGTAGGTATCCCAGCAAGTAAGCCCAGTACAGGACTGATTCAGCTGTGAACCAACCCAACGTGCCGTTTTAAAACTTGACATTTTAGTTTTAAAATGTTACCGATAACAAGGTATTTCCTGGGGCACCTCTGCCATCTTTTATTTAAAGAAAACAGGAGAGCATTTTGAGTGGCAAACTGTCACTCTGAACTTATGTTTTTGTCTTTGGCATTAACTAAATTTTCTTTCTGGGAAATTAAAGGAAAGAGAATGAATACTTGATGGGCCCTGACTATAAGCCAGGCACCATGTCAGGTTTTAGGGAACCAAAGATGAATTAGGCATAAGCTGTGTTCATAAGGATTCTATACACCATTTAGGAAGGCAAAATGTGTATGTAAATAAAGGGAAGCCACGTGACAACATATCCTAAGATAGGATGAATCCAGATGTAGCTGCGTTGGACAGTTGGCTCACTGTCCTTGCCAGAGTGGTTCCTGTCTTCTGTTGGGAGGAGGGTGAGATGTGGCTGCATAGATGGTGGTGCCGCTTGCTCGTGTCTTTGGATGGGCAGTTATGTCCAATATGTCTTACCATCTTTGCTTTTTTGTTTTTGGTAGCAGAACAGATAAATTAAGAATACTGCTTTTAGGACTGGGGATTTAGCTCAGTGGTTCTGCCATCTGCCTCACAAACACAATGTCCCAAGTTTGATGATCCCCACTACCCCCCCAAAAAAAGAATACTGCTTTTTATTGATCTCTGAATAACGTAATCTCTTTTTTAACTTTTTTTTTTTTCTGGTAGTAGGGATCAAACTTGGGACATTGTGTTTGTGAGGCAGATGGCAGAACAACCGAGCTAAATCCCCGGCCCCTGAATAACATAATCTCATATATCACACAAATAGATCTTACAGACTTCTCTTGTTGAGTTATTATAGTGTGATGCCTGTCCTGAAGGAAAGCCATGATGAGGAAATACCTGAAGAGTGGCTCTCTGAAGCCTTTGCAAACCAATGTGATTCAGCATAAGGGTTGTCTTCTCCCTGCCTGACGGGCCACCTACAGTGCCATCCTTATTCTGGCTGGCTGTGTGCCCTTCTGGGCTTTTATAACACCCCATGAATACCTGTACCATTGCACACAACACAGACCCTTGTTTTTCTTTTGCAATGCTGGGTATGGAATTCAGGGCCTTCTGAATGCTAAGCACATACACTCCCAATGATCTATACCTCCAGCCCCAGCCCATGATCTTTCAATTAACACTAGGGGTTGAGGCTATTAGCTCCTAGAATGGTCCTATCTTTTCCATCTTCATGTTACCAACATGTGACACATTTAGTGCACGCTTGGAGCTAAAAAAGAGCCTTTACAATGTTTTTGGTTTTTGCTTTTGTTTTGTACTGGGGATGGAACTCGGGTCGTAGCACTTGCAAGGCAGGAGCTGGAACCTCTGAACTAAATCCCCAGCCCCTACAATGTCTTTTTAACATAATACAGTAGGTGAGCTAAAGAAATGTGGAAAATGTCAGTGCCAAAGTGGAAGTAGGATGGGAAAGATGAGTAAGCTTGAGTACAAACGATTTCCCAAGACAGAAACACAAAAGGACTAATGGGACCTTCTGTAAGAGATACAAAACTTTGACATTAGGAGAGGACAAAAGTAACTGACTTTGAGATCAGTCACAGGCTCAGGAAAGTTTACAGCTGTAAAAGCCAACTCATTAGCCAACTCCTTCATGTCACAGGTGAGGAAAAAAAACGCTGGTGTATCAAGAAGTTGAGGGATTTACCGAAGTTCTTACCACTAGCTGATGATAGATAGGCCTAAAATTCAAATCTCTCCCTTATCTCATGCTCTACCAACCAAATACAGGCACATGTCATATTTGATAGCTACTATAAAATGAAGCATTGGAGAATTTTTAGGAATTAATCATACTTGAGTAAGAAACTTACTAACAATAGCCAAAGTAGCATTGCAAACACATAGAAGCCCTTAGACTGGATTTTGGGAAAAAGTCAAATGAAAAAAATATGCCCATTAATTAGACTATACCCTAAAGCAATCCCTACAGATTTTTAGGCTTTGTACTTTGCTTATATGTGTAGATCAACTAATTAAGTGTGGAAAAATCAATTTTCTTCTAGCAACACCTTTCAAGCCAACCCTGGAAGCTTCAGTTATCAGAAGTCTGAACAGAGCAGAACATGTTGTACTTACATGCTCCACCAAGAGAAGCAAGCCCCCTCCACAGATAACCTGGTTACTGGGGGCCAACATAGAGATCTACAGTAAGAGGAAAAATGGTTCTTTTGTTTTCCTTAAATTTCCAAGGGATTTTTTAAAAAAATGCTCTGGTGCCCTCTGGTGGCTGGAGTTGCCAAAATGCAGCATGGTATAAACCAGTTCTGTTCCAGAGAAATTATCTTTATAATTAATCAGTGATTAATCAGTGTTATGCATTAATGTTGAAAGGCTGATCACTGAGAGTGAAAGTGTTTTTGCTTAAAACAAAGTAGAAGCCTAGACTGAAATATTTATAATGGCTTCTTAAATGTTGACAAAGTTTCTTAAACAAAGAGATGTAACAGTTATTATCTCTGAACATAAAGTTTCTTTACAGGCATAAAATTAAAAGTTAATTTAATATAATGACTATACCAATACTCCTAGATTTACCATGGGGTTACAACCCAACAAACTCATAGTAGGTTAAAAATATTTTAAATCAGAAATGTATTTAATATACCTAACCAAACATCAAAATAGCTTAATCTACCATAAATGAACTTTTTAACACTTATGCTAAAAATTGAAATTGATTATCTACTATAAAGCCCATTTTATAATAAAGTGTTAATGTCTCCTGCAACTCAGTGAATACTGTCCTGAGAGTGAATAACAGAATGGCTGTACAGGTACACTCTCACTCATATAAGTTGAAAAGTCACTAAATCAGGAACTGTCTGTAATTAGAACAGATAAGATCTACCTTCCTTAGTGTAGAACCATGTCATACTGATACTGACAAGTTTAAAATATTATGAAAGAATCTAAACTTTGAGACTTTAGTCAAAGCAGGATAACGAATTTTGATGTTTGGGAACTATTTATACAGTAGTTTTGACATTTCAACAGACATTGGCTTCTGTATCTAATCATATATTCTTAACAGCCCCAAGCAACCCTACACAGTTGACAAAACTGAGAGCCAAATGGAGTTCTAGAAAGAAACGCCCTAAATAATCCAAATCTGCTTCTCAGGCCAGTACCAATTCTGCTTAATCATAAGGCTTCTCTTTAAATTTGCCTTATTCACAAAGCCTGAGTAAGCACTTGTGTGCTTGTGTTTCACAGCAACATCGAGATGTCCTTCTTACGTGACCACTGAGTTTTGACTGGTACTAGGGATCAAACTTGGGACCTTGTGCTTGCTAGGCAGGTGGCAGCACCACCAAGCTAAATCCCTAGCCTGACTTTTGATTTTTTTGCCATGGTGCAGGATCTATAAAAACCTATCCACTCGTGGACCAGGGATTTAGCTCAGTGGCACCATGCCTGCCTGGCAAGCACATGATCCTGAGTTCAATCCCCAGCACACACACACACACACACACACACAAATTAAAAAAATAATCCCTATCCACTACTGTTCACTTGCTTGCCTTTGCAACTACAGCCAAAACAGACAAGGGAGTTGTCCGAGGCTAGAAACCAAAAAGTCTGTCTTGGTGTCGAAGTTTCAGTCTCTAATAGAATCATATCCATCCAGTATTGTCACATAGCTGTAACCTTTTATTTTTATCTCTTTAAATTACTACATAGGTGGAACTCACCATGAATTTGAAACTGATGGAAAGAAGTGTAATACCACCAGCACGCTAATCGTGCACTCATTTCACAAAAACTCAACCGTGGACTGTATCATCCAACACACGGGCCTTCAGGGGAGAAAACTGGTTGTGCCCTTCCGGTTTGAAGATTTGGGTAAGAAGGACACATGATTATCTTCAATCATTTTAATTTACCTTAACATTGCACTATCAAAAAAAGTTAAGTGGAGGGGGCAAAGTTCTGTAGAGTGAAATTACTGTCAGTGAAGCTCACCTTATTTAAAACATTAACTGAAGTTTCCTCAGCTGGGAGCAGGATTGCAAGTGTTCATGTTTGGAAGAATCCCAGCTGGGTGTAAGGCCTGGCAGAGCACCTGGTACAAACAATGCCATCTTCCTTTTTTGTAATGACAGCCAGCATAACCTGCCTATAAATAGTTTTACTGCAGTTGTGTTCTTGGAGAAATAACATGAAGCATGTTGCACCCCCATACTTAACCCAAAAGGAGATATTAACTGAAAATATCTAAACTTCCTACAATATTGATTTATATTATTCTTATGTTTTTAAAAAACTCACATATTTACATTAAAGCATAATTACACTTTAGATTTATTTTGTTATGACTGTTTTTGAAGATTCCCCCAAAGGTCCAAGAAATAATTTAAAAGTTATAAGCAGCTCTTGGAGCCAAGGGGTATTCTGTAAGTGGCATAAATCAAAAGGTTGCAATTAGTAGAACTTTGAACTTGGGTTCTTTTATAAGGTGCTTCAAGTAAAAAAGAGACTGCTGGCTACAGGAAATCACTTTAATAAAAGAAAAAAAGGGTGGATAATGGTGCATTTACTGAAAAATTTCTTTCATCTGATGAAATAACTGGCAATGGAAGAAATTTGTGAAGGGCAAGGTCATGTAGGAGAACTTCACTAGAGAAGGCTGTCACACTGCCAGGTGGAGCTGTTGCTGTGCTTGACAGGTCCCCTCACATTGCTGCAGACTTTCCAAGCACACTTTTCTCACCAGAGCAGAAGCAGTTTATGGAGGAAGCTGAAGTAGAAGACTCACAACCCACAGCCTGGGCCATACTGTAATCTTCCACACACACACACACACACACACACACACACACACACACACACACACCTCAATATGATTCACCCTCTACTCACACCTCCACCTCCACTAAAGGAAATGGGCACGCAGGGGGTGAGGCCAACCATGCAAATGCTTCCTGCAGACATTCGGATTCCTCAGTAAAAGACCTCTGCTGCTGGAGGAAAAACTATATTTTGACTTTTTAGCAATAGGTCATGCCAGCTACAAAAATATCTTCTCCTTTAAGACCATAGTTCTATATGACTCAAAATCGTATCTGTAAATATTTCTGGTTGTAGGTTAAGATGGCTTTTATTTTTGAGCTCACTATTGACTATCTAGTAGTGCCCACTGCCCAAGCACCACCGAAGAGTCCACAAATAATGACTGGTGACCACATCAGCCATTGGTGGCTTCCATCTGTCTATTATCTTTTTACCTTGACAAGTTATGTGGTTGATATGTAGATACTACAAGCATTTTTTTCTACCAATTAGTTAAGAAAATGACTAGCTGGGGATGCTTTATGGCATAATTCCAAGTAAGGGTTCTGATCCTTTTCACCTCTACCCTCTCTGTGGGGCTAGAGTCAGGGATAATGCAGCTAGTACCAGGAGCAGGACTAGGAGGGGACAGTGCTGGCAGTGAACAGAACAACAGAAATAAATGTGAGTCTCTTTGGAGTTATTTATTGCATTTTTTTAGTATTCCAAATGAATAATATTTATTTCCTATCACCTGCAGATGGGATTTTTAAAAAATATTGAGCAACACTCCTCAAACTTGTTGATTATCTGAACCCCCAACACCCTTAAAACAACTGAGGACCCCCCAAATTTGTATTTGCCTGAGATAAATCTGTCAAAATGTACCTACCAGAAATTAAAGCTGACACATTTAAAATATATATTTATTCATCATTTAAAATCATCTACTACAGGTTAGTAGATATGTTATGTTTTTATGAAAAAATATAACAATATTTTGTAACACCCAAAAATTAGTGAAAAAAAGTGACATCATTTTACATTTTGAAAATCTCTTTTTTGCATTCAGTTCTTTTCCAATATGTTCTCTTGCTTGAAATAGTCAACTTCACACAAATATGTAGTTGGAAAGTGGAAAAGTGTTTATATGTGTATATGTATGTATGCAGTGCTTGGGGATGGTAACCAGGGCCTCATGCATGCTAGGCATGTGCTCCACTCCTGAGCTTCTGTACATCCCCAGCACAGGAAAGAGTATTTAATAGAATTTTGGGATAATTGTGGACATTCTTCTTTGAAGCCACACAATAATTTAATAAGAGGTAGTTTTTTTTCTTTTCTTCATTATTAAATTTTTTTTTCATACTGGGAATTGAACCTAGAACCTTCACAGTGAGCTACATCTTCGGCCTTTTTTTTTTTTTTTCTTCTTCTTCTTCTTCTTGTTTTTAATTTTGCAATAGGACCTTGTAAATCACTGCATTGCCCTTTCTGGGCTTGAACTTGCAATCCTCCTTCCTCAGCCTTTCAGAGTGCTGGGATTACAGGTGTGTGCCACCTAGCCCAGCAAAAACTAGTTTCTTGGGCTGGGGATTTAGCTCCGTGGTTCTGCCTCCTGCCTCAAAAGCACAAGGACCCGAGTTTGATCCCAGGTACCCAAAAAAAAAAAAAAAAAGAACTAGTTTCTTGTTTCTTAAAGGTTGGTTGATATGTGGACCCTGTAACCATAGCAATGAACTTTTCATACTCTGACATTAGACTAGCTTGCACTTTGCATGGATCTTTTCAAAACATTATGATTTGGCCATTTGAAGAATACTGAGTTAAGCATATATTATTAACACTGACACATTTTAGTATCAAAATTACATTAGTTAATATTACTGATCTCATAAGAAGTCTTCAGGTACTTACTTATAAGCTGCCAAACAAACAGTGGTAGGTTCAGATTGTCCAGAATTTTAGCTTGAAATGTGGTTAGTGCAACTGAGGAGCTACAGTTTAATACTATTTAACTTTAATTAATTTAAATTTAAATAGACTAGGTAATTAGTGGATATTTCACTGAATAGCAGAAGTCTATGGCATTCTGGCCAACTGGAGAGACAGTTAATCTGGCTAGGCTCCACTCAGTCAAAACATCAACCAGTCTAAATCAGTGTTTATAGTTATTTAGCAGTTTGTTAATTAAAAGGATAAAATCAGTTTTAAATCTAAATAATTAATTTGTAGATATATAAACTTTGTTTTATACATAAATATAAAATTTTCCAAATTCACACTATGTAAACACTGTGTTAGAAGACTTTGACTATTAGTAATGATTTTATTCTGTGTGTCCTCAGAATTTCCCATATTAGGCACTATGATGTGCTTCCAATAGTTCTATTTGACCAGCTTTCAATCTTCTCCCTCTTTTCATTGCCAACAGCCCTCCTCTTTCTTCAACTTTCCTGGCATCTTTGTAATCACAGAGTTTATTTTAGCTTGTAGTCCGTCTAGTAGTCCCCTTTCATCGATGGCTTTGCTCTCCATGCTTTCAGTTAACCATGGTTCACCAAGAAGGAAGCTATTTAGAGAGAGGCCACCATCACATCATTTTTATAACAGAATGTCATTATAATTCTAAACTTGCTGTTGTTAATCTTTTACTGCACTTAATTTATAAATTAACTTCATCATAAGTATGTGTGTATGGAGAAAAGCACTGCATATTTGGGGTTGTGTCCACCACAGTTTCAGACATGCACTGGGCGTCTTGAACAACTCCCTCATGGATGATTTCTTTAATATTTTCTTAGTAGTTTGTCTTCCTTTCATCAGAACTATTACATGAAATTCAGGCATTCATATATATTTTTTAAAATTTTAGCATAGTATATGCATGTATGGAAATATCACAGTGAAACCCATTAATTTTTAAAACTAGTATGAATTAATACTTATAATAAAATGTTCTATTATAAAACACATTTTCAAAACCACAGGAAATTTCAAAGAAACACTGATAAGTACTCACAGATTTTATAGACATATAAAATGTCTACCTATCTGTCACACATCTGTAAATTGACAGGTGCAATGATTTAATACTTTCGAGATGTAGGCGAGCTCACAGGCTGTTAAAATAAATCCTAAGGTGAACCTCTGGAAACATCCCTAAGCATTTTTGTTTATTTTGTAAAACAATAGGTAGTAAGCATTGTGCTTAATAAATAGCCAGGCATTGTACTAAACATGTTATATGAATGAACTTATTAAGTCTCACACAAAATCTTGAAGTGGTCACTATCTCTATTTCACAGATAAGGAGAAGACAAAATGTTAGATAAATTAGACGTCTTGTCCAGCTCACTAAGGAGCAAGCAAATAGCAGCACTGGGATTTAATGCAGTCTGAGGCCAACTCCAGAGCCCTAATTGACAACAGGAAGACAGAGATGAGGTTAGGTGGATAGACCGGAAGATAGGAAGATATAGGTATACAGACAGAGACAGCAAATACCCTCTGCCTACTACCACCAAGTGAGCCAGCATGCAGAGTCCAGCATGCTGCACTTTGAAGCCAGGCAGGTTAGCAGATGGGAAATCAGCAGGGTACAGACTCAAAAACCAGAACAAGAGCCACAGAACACACAGTTCCGAGGTTTCTGTACAATCTCCACAAGCAGGTAGCAGCTGAATACATTCTGTTTACTGAGCACAATGTGGGTAAAATTGCTCTCTGTAGTTGCAGAATTTTGTTTTTCCTCCTTCCTAGTTACTGATCAAGAGACAGATTCAAATGCTCCAGGGACAAGCTCTCTCTCCTGTCCAGACCTTCAGCAGCCCACAAGTATTGGTAAGTGTCGAAATCACCAAAACTTTAAAAGAGAAACAAACCATGCCTGCTTGAGAAGATCCCATTTCTAATGTTGTTTTAAATTTTTAAATTTTAATTTCTAATAAGATATCCATTCAGGACCCCTCTAACTGATTCCAGCTTTGTGGCGTCCTGGAACAGGACCACATCAGTAGAGCATATGTAGTGGATGGGATCTAGGGTAACATAGATGCCTTATCAGCTCAGTGCTGTTCTGCTTGAGATACATTCATTTCCTCTGTGCCAAAGGGCAAGGTTGAATTCATTTATGAGGAAGCCTGTTCTTTGTCTTTCCATTGAGAGCAGAGTAAACACAAAATAAAGACTTGATATCAATGATTCAAGAAGTAGAAGCTGGGAATTTGATGCTGTCATTGAAAAACAAAATCACCTTTGAGGATAGGTCAGTTACTTGGTTGTAAAGAACTTGGACCATTGTTTTTTTGTTTTTGTTTTGTTTTTTGAGACAGGGTCTCACTATGTAGTTCAGACTGCTCTGGAATTCACTGTGTAGCCCAGGCTGGTCTCGAACTTGTAGTGATCCTCCTGCCTCAACCTCCCGAGTGCTGGGATTACAGACGTGCACCACCACGCCTGGCCTTGGACCATTGTTGATGATAGGGTTAAACTCCAAGAAGGATTCAGAAAGCCTGGATTATAATTCCAGCTTTTTAGATAGTGGGCCCACTAGATGGTTAACTTGGGACAATGATTCCATATTTAATTTAACTTTGTATTTTATCCAGCACAATATCTGACAATAGCAGGTGCTCAGAATATGCTGAATGAATGAATGAATTTATTTTGGGCTTTTGAGCAAGACAGCCTCATTCAGGAAGGCATAAATTCCTATGTGCTGTCTTTCTATTTCATGTAGTATCTCTATAATAATTTTATTTGGTAGGATAAGTGCTTTCAGATCATTATCATGTTGATAGTTCTGAGTATCAGATCACATTTTTGAAAACGTGTATACTGAATAATATTTAAAAGTAAATGTTTAGGCTTTTTAAAAACACTGATAAATACAATATGTCCATACAATTTTTGAAAGGCAATGAAAATTGAAAATATTATGAAGTGGAACAGCCACATCGCTTGCTTTAATAATCCAATATTTTAAAACGTGTTTAGAATCTGGCTGTCTTTAAATTGGCTTGCACCACTCCTGAGCAACTCAATTTTCTGCTCTGCGTTTTCATATACAACACAGGATTTACAAAATGTGGTTTCTAAAATTCCTTTCAGCTTTCAATTTCTGCAATTTTATTACTGTTAATAACACCCATTTTGGGCCGAAATCTGGGAGGCTTCATTCCCCTTGGGGTCCACACAGTGGCGCTGTGCAATGGTCTAAAATAGAGGGAGGGAGAGAGAGAGAGAGAGAGAGAGAGAGAGAGAGGGAGGGAGGGAGGAAGGAAGGAAGGAAGGAAGGAAGGAACGAAGGAAGGAACGAAGGAAGGAACGAAGGAAGGAACGAAGGAAGGAAAGAAGAAAATAAGCAACAAATCCGAAAAAGCTTTCTCTTCTTTTTGTAGTTTGTCTTATCTAGCAAAAACACTGCATCCAACTTCTAAAGGAGAAGCAGTGGAACCGAGGCTCCATTTAAACATGAGTCATGTCTCTGCACACCTTGCACAACAGGCTGTAGGCTCCTGTCCCTGTCAGGGGAGAATGGTATCTTTGGGCACCCCAAAGGCCTTCTCCCCAGTAGTCCTGATTCAGGAAGAAAGTATGAAATAATGGTCTTAATTTGGAGTTCTGGTACTAGAGAAAAATTCAGTTTCAATGTTATTGATGCTGCTTCTTTGCTGCAGGACTTTTGTTAATGTATTGATTGCTCAAAACTTCTGTTTTCTTAGAGCTGTGGTGAGAAAAAACAGACAGCCGGTGATCAGTTTAAGGCCCACACCTAGTGAACGTCCAACAAGTGTTCGCCTTTTCAAAAATAAGGCAAGGGGAGACTGATCATTTGTAACAACTTTTGTAAAAAATCAGTAGTTCAAAATAAAAGAAGCCAGACACAGAAAAATAAATGCTGCAAGTGCTCTCTCATATTCTGATCCAAACGTAGAAGAGAGTAGAATGGTAGTTACTAAAGGCTATAAAAAGCAGGAAGAAGAAGACAGAGATGTTGGATGATGGGTACCATAATCAAGTTAGAGAGGAAGAATTAGTTCAGGTGTTCCACAGCACAGGAGGATCACAATAATTGATAATGACATATTATATGTTTTATAAAGAACTAGAGAGGAGCTTAAAAGTTTCAATGTAAGATATTGAAACGATACAAAGATGGAAATGATAAGAACTAATTACCCTGATGTGATCACTGTACACTGTGTGTACATTGTGTCATATCCCCCATAAATATGTACAAATACTATGTGTTAATTTAAAAGAGAAAACAAGATTTCTTTTTTTAAAAAAAACTCCCCTCCCCCTTCTTCCTTCCCTCTCTTCAGACAGGGTCTCACTATGTAGATCAAGCTGGCCTTGAACTCACTATGCAACCCATGCTGGTCTCAAATTGGCAATCTTCCTGCCTCAGCCTCCTGAGTTCTGAAATTACAGGCATATGCCACCAAGCCTGGATTCATTGTTCTTTTTTAATGAGGGCCACTTCGTTTGGTTTCCACAGCTGCTTTGGGAAGAGTATAGTATTATATGAATAGTTGTAGTCTTAGTCCATTTTGTGCTGCTACAACAGACTATCAGACTAGGTTATTTATAATGAGCAGAAATTTATTGGCTTACAGCTGTAGAGGCTGAGAAGTCTAGTATTCAGGGACCATATTTGGCAAAGGCCTTTTTGCTCCAGCAAAGAGAGAATAAAGGGGCAAACTGTCCCTAAGGAGCTCACTCTGCAGTAATGGCATCAGTCTTTGCATGAAGATGGATTGTTCACGACCCAAACACCTCTTCCCATAGCAATTAAACATCAACATGAGTTGGGGTTTTGTTTGTTTGTTTTTGTATCGGGGATCGAACTCAGATCCTCATGCTTTCGAGGCAGGAGGTGGAACCACTGAGCTAAATCCCTGGCCCAACCTGAGTTTTGGAGGAGCATTCAAACCATACGTTATATCTATGTACCACATATGTATGATACATGCATATATTGTATCTTATTTTCTTTCACCTTAGTTTCAAAAATGGAAAATTCCAGTACGCTGGAGATTAGCGAGAAAGAAAAAGAAGAAACGACTCAAGAGTCTGACTTGGCCAGTGGTGAGTGTCACCATTGCATTTGGAATAAACAATTGACATTTTAACCTCTCTGCTGATAAATCAAATAGCCTTTTCCAGTCCTTGTTTTGCTTGACCTCTTTGCCCTTTGTGACATAATGAATTAATTATTCCCTTGGCCCTTCTGGACCTGTTGCCTTATGCATTACTTGATCTACTTTGACAGGCTCTGTTGTTTTTGCTAACCACTGTTTCTCTGTCTATCAGCTAACTCCACTTCTTCCCCTGTGGGGTGTGTGTGTGTGTGTGTGTGTGTGTTGCTGAGGACAGGCTTCAGGGCCTTGTACATGGTAGGCAAGTGTTCACTGTGCACATTCCCAACCTTGCTGTCACTCCTTGATTGTTGGCTGGGTTGAGGGATGTTGGCAAAGTGACATTTCATAAGATCAAAATTCTATGTTTAGAAAGACTTTTAAAAGCTCGTCTAGTATATCTCCAAGTTCCTTTATGGGGCACCACATTTAACCTAGCCAAGATAAATGAATTTTTGTATTATTTGCACAGTGTTCCAAATTCTTGAACAATTTCTCTTGCTACCTAACTTCATTTTTGCAAAAAAAAATTAAGTCAGTATTTGCATGCTTCCTCTAGAAATGGGTACTTCTTTTCTTTTCTTTTTTTGGGGGTTGTTTTGTTTTGTTTTGAGACAGGGTCTCACTATGTAATTGAGACTGACCTGGAACTCACTATGTAGCCCAGGATGGTCTCAAACTCACAGGGATCCTCCTGCCTCAGCCTCACAAGCGCTGGGATTACAGGCGTGCACCACCACACCCGGCAGTACTATTTCAATACAGTGTCAGTTAAAATACTTTTTCAGATTATTTCCCAGAATTGTTTTGCATTCAGATAAACACCATCCCTTCAGAGTAAGCTCTGTCTCCCGTCTTCATCTGAGCTGTCCCTTAGCCTACACTGTAGCACAAAAATACTGTGTATATTCCTCAATGGGGGAAAAACTGCCTAAAATCCTTTCATTTTCCTTACAGAAGCAAAGCCTCAGCATCTAGGATTGGCCAGGAAGAAAAGCGGCATCCTGTTGCTCACACTTGTGTCCTTCCTCATCTTCATCCTCTTTGTCATAGTGCAGCTCTTTATAATGAAGCTTCGGAAGGCACACGTGGTCTGGAAGAAAGGTGAGTGGGTGTGGCCTGAGGGAGGCTGTCAGATGCTGAGAGAATCGCCTCGACTAGAAGAGAATCCTACCCATTCGAGCTCTCCATTTGCTGCCGCATGAGCTCGACGTGCGCTGTCATTCAGGCAGTTATTTCCTAGTAAACAAGAGTTGTGACTGGTCAGAGAGTACATGACCCACAGAAACTGAAATGGCCCTGAGAATTGACATTAAATTATGAACGCCTCTGTTCACAAAAGCATACAAAATGGAGAGCCAATTAATTCATTCATTCCATATTCACTGGAGTGCCTACTGTGTGCCGGGCACTGTTCCGGGACCTAGGGATACATCCGTCACAAGACAGAGCAGGTCTTTGCTCTCAAAGAGTTTACATTCTAGTTTTGGACAAAGGTTGAATGCAACAGACTGTTTTCGTCCCATTCCTACTTTTTAAGAATGCACTCAGCCTCACTCAACCGTAACACCTTAGCAATTTTCCCTGAGCATTCTAATTTAAAAATTAGAAACAAAAGTTATTGAGCTAGTATAGAACATACTCCTAAAGTGCATTAGTTACAACACATATTGGAGCTGGAAGGGAATTTAGACGTTATTCAGAATACATCTACTCCATTCATCCCATGACCAGATGTCGCAATTAAATCTACTCCTTAACTCTGAGTTGTTATCTGGCCCTATACTTTGAAATACAGCAGCCACAAGCTAGCTATTCAGCATTTCGCATGGGCCTAGTCCTTATGAGACGGACTGTAAGCACAAAGTACATACCCAGTTTGGAAGATGCAGGGTACACACACAAATGTGCATGAGAATATACCTAATACTAATATCTCAGAGCCGGGTGTGGTGGCGCATGCCTGTAATCACAGCAGTCTGAAGGCTGAGGCAGGAGGATAGCCATGAGTTTGAGGCCAGCCTGGGCTACATAGTGAGTTCAAGGCCAGCCTGAACTGCGTAGAGAAACCCTGTCTTAAAAAAAAAAAAAATCTTAGATGTGCCAGTTAAATAAAATATATTATTACATTAATTTCACTTACTTCTTTTTATATTTGAAGTGTGACTACTAGAATTTATTTGTGGGTGTGGGTGTGGATGTCTGTGAGTGAATGTTTGCACTGGGGATTGAGCCCAGGACCTTGAACAAGCTAACCAAACACTCTACCACTGAGCCACACTCCTTGCCACAGAGTATTTTAAGTTGCACACATGGCACACATCATAGGGCTGCTGGACAGTGACATTGTAGCACCTAAGGCTAAGACACCCCTAGTAACAGAAGTCCTTACAACTAGAGGCAAAACACATCTTGGAATAGCTTTGAATAGTGCAACCTTGGCTTGTTTCATATCAGTGTCTGGATAGTCAAATGGACTAATGTTTTTATATAAATAAACCTGGAGATAGGATCTGACTTTTCAGTTGTACCCATCTGCACAATAAGCAAACACTATAATACTGTTTCAAAATCTCTCATTAACAATTCACCTCCATCACTCTTTGGGGAATATTTCAATTGTCCCTTCCTGAAGGACAATACTTGCTTCTCTTCTGCCGTCATTTCCCCTCCACAGCTCTTCTGGTGCCTTGACAGTGCCTGCAGGGAACCTAGTACAGTAATGTGTTGAATTAGTACAGACAGGAGGTACCAGTGGGGCTAATCAGCTAGGATACTGTAGCTGATGTCTTACTCATTTCAACATGTAGGTGATATCTGTGGCATCAGAAATCAGTAATTTGATCTTCTTTTCTTGCAGAAAATGACATTTCAGAACACACCGTAGAAAGTTACAGATCAAGGTCAAATAACGAAGAAACGTCTTCCCAAGAGAGAAATGGCCAAAGTAAGTCAACTGTGTGACCTGGGATTTGAAAAATGAGGTTCCTTCATGAGTTGTCTTTAAGGAGAAGATGAAAAAAAATATCAAAGTTTGAATTTTCGAACTAGAAAGTCAATCTCTTAAATCATCTTATAAAATTCAAGGATGCTCATCTTAATTAAGAATCAGTAGTGAAGCCATCCCTGACTCTGCTGCCACATGTGGGGACACTCTGTTCCCTGCCTGTGCCCCAGAGCATGCTACACGCATGTTATGAGTGAAGCAAATCTCATACCACCCTGTAATTTTTGGTGTTTTGATTTAGGTAATATAATATTCCTTCAGGTAGAATTGGATTTACTCCATATCCCTGGATTCTAGCACTGGGTCTGGTACAAATGTAGTGCTGGGCTGGAAATGGTGACACATACTTGTAATCCTAGCACTCTCAGGCTGTGGAAGGAGGACTGCTGTGAGTTCAAGTCCACTTTGGAATATATAGCAAGACCCCCAAAACATAACAAGAGCAACAACAACACCCCAAACAAATGGAGTACTTGATATATTTGTATTGATGTTTCAGGTCTTTTGGATAGCTCTGTTGCAATTCCTTAGGCAAAATAAGTAAAGAAAGCGAAAAGAATCTAAATAAGGGAAGTGTGTGTGTGTATATGTTTGTGTGTGTGTGTGTGTGTGCGTGTGTGTGTGCGCGCACATGTGCTCTCAATGAAGATCCAGTGGGCAGAAGCTAGGTCTATAAAAATGTAATGCTTTTAGGCCCCCCAACCATTTTATGTCTGCTGTGCAAAGTAGTGTAGCTCCCAGGAGTTGCAAGATATGCAGTGAGCTTTGCTGCTCTATTGGTTTGACTGAGATTTTGTAGGAAACTGGTCTTTTATGACACCTCTGCCTTTTGTTTTTGTTTTTGTTTTTTACCTCCTAGAAAGTGAAATGGAAAGAGAAAATAGATATGCTCATGAGGGAGGGGAGAGAAAACTGGCTGTGTGAATGCTGGAGAGGGAGGAGAAAATGTATGTAAGCTACAGTTTGAAGAAGGGTGTTGGTATAACGTGTCAGCTGGGTCATTTCCTGTGTCACCTCTAGCCTCTGTGTACACACAATGGCATAGTCTTTGAAGGGCCTGCTCCAAGCTATTCTTCCCATAAACCTTGTTTTTAATATGTGATTTTGCTCAAGGCAGCACATTTGTAGCAGAAATCTCTATATATTTTATACCAGGTATGTTGTTTATGGAACAAGACTTTTAAAAATTAGTGTATAACAATGCATTCAGACCATTTATTTGCATTAAAAAATTTTAGGTTTGATTTTATGACTTTTACATATAGATCTATAAACACAATGTCTAAGCACAGTGTTTCAAATAAATGGGTGCCATGTTGTTCACGAGAAATAGTCACATTTGATATGTTTTTCTTTCAGCTTCCCACTCTAAACGTTGCATGAACTACATTGCAAGGCTGTACTCAGAAGCAAAAACAAAGAAGAATGTGCAGCATTCACAATTAGAAGAAAAGTGTACTCACATCCCAGAGAGTATTGTGTAGTGTTCCCTGTGACAGAAGACAGGCTTTCAGAGCAACATCATTTTCAGTAGAGCAGCCTGTGGGAAAGAGATAATTACTGTGACATGAAAAATGTCATTTGAGTGCAATCTATGATGGTGTCTTCTGAGCCAGGGCAAAAACACAAGGACCAAACCATGGACAGAAAGCTCCTAGGTAAAAAAAAAAGAAAGAAAAAACCTATTATGCCCCACACCACTTCAGAGCAGGACGATTCCACTAAGCCTTGTGGATCAGGGTCAGTGTGACCAGCCAACATCTTACCTTGAAGGAAATGCAAGGTTTTAGATAGTAGGCTGTAGTGAAACTACATTAAAAATTTTTTTTAGAAAAAAATCTTTCCTTCTGGTCATGAAATAAAGAACTTTAGGATGAAAAGTACCTCAAGAAGATTTCCAATCCTAAGAGGTTGCTTTCAATATGGGTGTTAAGATGACATAACCAGTACATGGGTATCCAAAAGGATTGGTGTGTCACAGTGACTGAGTCAGATAGATGGACACAAAAGCCCCAAGCTCTACTTCCAGGACACAAGGAATGAGCTCAAAGGAGGCCCAAAGATCAGAATTTCTAGACAGGTGTGGTGGCACATACCTGTAATCCCAGAACTTGGGAGGTTGGGCAGGAGGATCACTGTGAGTTTGAGGCCAGCCTGAACGACATAGCAAGCCCTTGTCTCAAAAAACTAAAGGCCTGGGGATTTAGTTCAGTGGTGCTGCTGCCTGCCTTACAAGTACAAGGACCTGAGTTCAATCCCCAGTACAAAAAAAAAATACTCCTTGCTAAATCACATATGCTGACTTGATAGACAAAGTGTTTAACCTGGTTACTCCACAACAAAGGCATGTACAAAAGAAATTAATGTGTGCCCAACAGATCCTTGACTTAATGAATGGTTTTTTAAAGGTCTTTAATAAGGAGTAGAATGTGTATTTGTTTCTTCTAGCAATTGTGGTCAAAGTTGTATTTCCTACTTTCGTATGTGAAAAGTGACATGTGACACCTTTTTTTCTATCAGTTTATTTAAATTATAGCAAACTAGGGCATTATGTGGAACATTTTTCATTGTTTGGGCCTGAATAAACTAATTCTAAAAAGAACTAATTCTAAAAAGATATATTATGGTGTTGTAATTTGTTACAGGAGTCTTGCTCTACTTTTTTTTCCTATTAATAATGCTTTTAGCAATCACAAAATTATTTGTGTAAAGATAGTCTGCTCCACCTGCATCTGAGAGTAAGGTGACAGGATGCTCATCACCTCCCAAATGCATTAGCATGTCTTTCCTACAAACCAGGACAGTCTCTTCTATATCTACAATGCAACCATCACAATCAGGAAATTAACATTATTTTATTTCTAGGAAAACTCCTCAGATGCAGATGCCAGTCAAGTTTTTCTAGTTGTCCCTATTGTCCAAAAGGACCCAGTTCAGAATCACATTCACTTTTGCCTCACTCAGTTTGGAACAGCTCCTCAACGTTGTCCTTACTTTCATGACCTCCAGGTATTTGCAGATGACAGGCTAATTATTTTGTAGACCACCCTGACATAGCCCATCCCCCACCTCTGAACCATCCCCTTCTTTTCAAGATGACCCCCTCGTCCTGCTCAGGCTCAGTTCCCCTGCCCACTCCATGCAATGTGGATGCTCTGCTCACCCAGCCCCGACATCAACTGGTCTCACTGTGCACGCATGTACACACACACACACACACACACACACACACACCCACACACACTCATGCTGCCTGGTAATACTTCTCACCCACTCAGGCTTGTAACACGGGGGGCTGGGCAGCCCACAGAGGCACACTGCCCCTCACCAGCCCCCTGGACTTCCTCAGCTTTCCTACGCACACCACCATGGATGCCTGCTTTGCTGTACCTGACTTGAGGACTTTAGGACTAAATTGTTTGGCCAAAAAAGAATAGAAGGACTTGAGAGACAAGGAATGAGCCAGATGTCCTGTTTTTCAAGAGTTTTGATAAGCAAAGGCACCAGGATTAGGCTGTTACTTATAGTTTACTAGTGGCCCTGTGTCAGTAATCATTCTGACCCATCAGTCTTCTGCAAACACAGAGGGAAGGACATTTTCCCAGTAGATATGGTGCTTGTCCTAGTTCACTAAACCTTGATGCTGTGTTGGCTGAATGAGTTTACATTTGGAAATGATGTTAACTGTGACTGCTCCTTTGTTTCCAATTTGTTCTTTCAAGAGGCCAAATGAAAGTGCCAACATTTCAGTAGCATGCAGGGCTGAGGTAAGCACACTCAGCCAACTGTCAGAATTGCCTCACAGGGAATCCTAAAACAAGATCCCCAGGTTTATCCAGGGATCAGTCTTAGGAGACCTGAGGTGGAGTTTTGGAATCTGCAGCTTTTGGAACCTTCCTCAGTGCTGCCAACAGGCTGGGGAAACTTGATGGAGCCAAAACAAACATTTTCAAAGGATGGCCATGATATCAGTGCTGCGTTCTCCTGGTGATGAATGTGTTCTTAGTGTCCTGGAAGCAGAGGACCTTAAGTGTCCTCTAACCCTAGGTGTGGAACTATCTCAACACACAGGCCAAACACATTTTGCAGATAAAGAACATCTAATCTGCACAGTGCTCTGCCCACAGTTGTTTCTTAATTTATATTTGGCGAATAGCAGAGAGAGGAAAGGAAAAAGAAAAACGACATCTGTTAGAGGACCTACCATGAGTCAGACACTTTTTATGGGTATTCTAAATAATCATAACAGTCTTGCAACATATGTCTCATAGCACATATTTGAGGCATGAAACACAGTTGAAACTCTGCAAAATAACTTAGTAAAATGAACCACCAAGAGCGGATATTGATCCGGGTCTGTCTTGATTCCAGGCTCTGTCCCTTCTGTTTTATTAAGATGGCTCCAGGGAAGCATTTAAGATGGAATGAGATGTTCAGGAGCTGTGCTCAATACCTGTAATTTTCCCTAGGAGACTGACAATTTGGGCTACATCAGTGGGCTCTAACTGGATTCCAGTTGGAATATATAGAGCACCAATAGGTGAGCAGGGAGCACCTGGAGTACATGGGTGCTCGGACTTACTGTGTCTCCCAGCTGGAACCACAGCTCTGCGTAGGCGGCTCCCTCCACCTCTGCTTCTGCAATCTTCCCACTCCCTTCACCTCTGCAGGCACAAGAGGACACTGCACATCTTTTAATGACTTCCCCAAAGCTTTGAATCTAGCTTATTTATTAAATCTCTCCGACTCAAGCATATCATCTGTACCGTGCAGGGAACCTAAATGATAAAACAGCTGTATTTATGGACTTCTTTCATCTCAACAAATCTCATCCAGTTTTTTAGGTAATCATAGAATATTATAGTTGGACAGATCTTAGAGTTTGTGATAAGCATTTCCTAAAATGTGTTCTGAGGAACATTAATGTTCTAGAAGTGTTTGATGGGGGGAGAAGTTTTCTGGGGTCAAATAAATTTTAAAATGTTGAACACTGTTATCTCCTCCTAGAGTCAACTCATAAAGAAATTTGTTTAGCTTTAACCCAGAACTGCTTACACATACTTAGTCATTTGCAAGTGTCCCTCCATATCTGCAGCATATTGGTTTCAGCACTTCCCTTTCCTTCTCCGGGATACCAGAATCTGTGGGTTTTCAAGTCTCTTGTATCAAATGGTATTATGCTTGGATACAGCCCACACATATTCTTCTGTATACTTTAAACCACTTGTAATATAGATTGCTTATAATACAGAATACAATATGAATACTATATAAATAGTTGTTATACTTTTTTGGTTAGAGAACAATGACAAGAAAAACATCTGTGCACAATTTTCTTCAAATATTTTCTGTCTGAGGTTGGCTGAATCATGGACGTGGAAACCATGGGTAAAGGGGACCAACTGTATAGCACTTCATGATAGTTGTTGCCCAATAACACTTGAGAATTTCCTCCTCCTTTCTAGGAGATCTGTGATTTTGCGCTAACATCCTCCCAACATTGTGTAGTCACGGGCATCAGGGGAGGGAGGCTCATCCCCAGCCCCAAAAGAAGCTTGATTGTTTGACTCAGTCCTAAGAGTCCCATTTCCTTGGAGGGGTCAGCTGAGGCATGGCACATAAATCAAGGCTGGCCATTGAGATGTGATTGGAAGCTCTCAATGCACATCCAGGAAAACTTACCATTAGAGATAAAAATAATGTTCAGAACCAAAGCATCCTCCTTTCCCCCAAAATGTTGTCATAACTGCAAAAGATGCCTAGAACCACTATTTCATCCACCAGGAATCTGAGCTGCTGTGCTGAGGGTGCTGAAGGAAAAAGACAAAATTTGAGTCCTTGATGATTTTGTTAAGCTGCTGAATATTTCAGAATTTCTTAAGTAAGAAAAAAAAATTTTTTTTTTTTTTTTTTGGTTTTTT